AGGCTGGAGTCAGGAGAGAACCCAGGCGTCCGGGAACGGCGGGAGTGAGGGTGGGAGCCAGGCGTCTGGGAGGAGGAGGGGTCCAGGAGCAAGGGGCAGGAGTGCGGGGCACCGGCAGGGCTGGGGGCAGGGGGTGCAGGGGGGGAGTGAGGGGCACCAGCCTACCACTGGCCTCTGCCTGTACGTGATCCCATCCAGCCTCACCCAGGCAACGTCCCTTACCCCACAACAGGCGGCCACAGCCCTGGTGATGCTGTGACCAGGCCAGGCCCAGCTGTGATGGGTGACATACCCCTCCCCCCCCACGTTCCTGACTCCAGCAGGCCACGGGCGAGGAGGCGCAGGTGCTGCAACAAGCGGAGAAAAGAGCTGCATGGCCCAGGCAGTGCTCGGCAAGTGGGGGTGGAGGGGCGGGTGTGTGACAGGGGTGTGAAGTGTGTGTTATCTGAGAGTGTCCCAGACACCTGGGTTGTTTGGGGGGTGCACACAATTCCAGCTGGCTGGGGAAGGGTCTCGCACACGCACACAGAATCTGGGGGATGGACACACGCACATCCTACAGGTGTCTGGACAGACTTCCAGGCTGTCTTGCAGATCGGTGCCTTTGTTGGGAGCCAGCAGTAGGGGCCAGAGTGAACACCCCCCATGCCCTGGGGAGCTGGAGACAGCCCTGGCTGCTATCGTTGCATCCCAGTAGGGCTCCAGGCCCTCCCAGTATGTCCCCATCCTGGCATCAGTACCTCCCACTCCCTGTCTATCCCCATCTTCTCTGTCCAGACCAGTTTCTCCCAGTATACCATCTTCCAGCTTCCCTTTGGTCCGCTATGACCCCACGCTGTCCCAGTAGCTCCTCCCTTGCTTACAGTCTCTAAGCAGCCCCCACTCCAGTCCCTCCCAGTATGCCCTTATGTGTCTCAGGGCAGAGCCCTGACTTGTCCCAGTTACCTCCCAGTTGTCATCAGTGCTCCCCAGTGTGACTATAGTCTCAGCTTTATCCTTCCCCAGTATGACCCCAGTCTCTCCCAGTATGGCTCCAGTTCCTTCCAGTATAATTCAGTCCTTCCCAGTATGGCCCCACCCCAGCCCTACCCCCCCCCAGTATGACCAGTCCCTCCCAGTGTGACCCCACCCACTCCCAGTACAGCCCAGGCCTTCCCAGTTTGGCTTAATTCCTCCCAGTATGACCCCAGCACCTTCCAGTCTAACCTGAGTCCTTCCCAGAATGACCCCCCGCATTCCCAGGATGTCCCCAGTGCCGCCCAGTATGGCTCCAGCCCCTTGCAGTATAATTCCAGACCCTCCCAGAACAGCCTCACCTGGCCCACTACAACCCAGTCCCACCCAGTATAACCCCGTTCCCTCCCAGTATAAGCTAGCCCTTCTCAGCGTACCCCTACCCAGTCCCGCCCCGTATAGCCCCGCCCCCTCTCAGTATCCCAGTCCCGCCCACTGTAGCCCCGCCCCGCCGGGCGCGGATTGGCTGCGGGGCGTGCCCCGCCCCGGGGCGTATCTTGCTGGCCCCGCCCCCGCGGCAGACAATGGCCCGGGCCGGGGCGGCGGCCGCGCGCGGAGCG